TTTGTTTGCTTTTGTTATAGTTCAATATGACGATTTACCTTATTCTAACGTAAATCTCTACAATAATTTTAAATATTTGTCTTATTGTTTTAAAAATACATTAGTTATGTCATGCTCGCGCGAGTGTTTATTAACGTCGCACTAGGAAGAAACACTAGGGTGAAGGAATTCGTAATTTTGAACTTCGGTTATGTGAGGAGGACGGCTCCTGAGCTAGCACTTCACTCTCCGAGCCAACTGAAAGACACTGAACCTCGACAGATTTAGCGTGTATCAGTACCCTCTACACGGTGGGTCTTTTGTATCACTCAGGCTGGAACTCATGACACGTAGGTCACGATTTCATGACCATAACCACTAGGCTATAACTACCTCAAACTCTTGATCTGAGGTGGTCAAAGGATTATTTTCTAAAAAATATTCGATTCATCTATGTATCTGATGCTGTTGTGTTCCACAAAACCGATGTAGGAAAATTATATTTTCTCTGTTTTCTGAGTTTTTCTGAGTCGCAATTTGTTATGGTTAAATATAATGATTTATCTTATTCTAACGTAATTTTTTACAATAATTTTCTTCGTTTCTTATATAAGTTTTATAAACATACATTAGTTATGTTCTGAAATTGGCAAAATCAACGTTGAACTCTATTGTTATAGAAAAGTTGCGAAAATAATATATTTACTACATTCAAGGAAAATCTATGATGAGGTAATTAAAAGTCAGTAGTGTTCTGACCTCGATATAGCACTGTGTGAGGTGCCCTTCTCCTTGATTATTAGCGTGAGCTAGAGGTGTAGGATGAACGGAAGAACTAGAAGCTGCCATGATCTTAATCTGACTTTATTAAGATCCTTAACTTAAGCGTCTAACAAATTAGATAATAGTAATATATGAGAGAATCTACGATGGCTAAAATTCACAATATATATAATACCGAAATCATGTAACCCAGACCACTATCTATACTAACTCGCCTAAGCTCTATTCCTAGACTATCACAGATCCGAATATTAAACAGTCACTCCTACCTTTAATCTAGACTGAAGTGGCGATCACTATAATCCTAGATGAAGTTGCTGTGTACTCGAGAGCAATGTTATGCACCTTGACTTAAGGGATCTCTATCACGTATAATTTCTGTTTTCTGTCACGAAACGATTCAAAAACATCTTCACGCTTGAAAAACTGATAATCTATACATTCCCCAATTCGCCACACCGCTTAATCTAAGTTCTGATATTTAAAAGCTTCCTAATTTGCATCTTTCCTTCAGGCTTCCCTTCTTGGATTTGGTTCGAAAAGAGTTGCCATTAATTCTGGCCCCAAAGAACCCAAAGGACATGTTAATGAAAAGACGTGTGAGCCCGTCACAACTGGAGTTGATAAATTGGCAAACAAAAGATAAAAGTAAAAATTTCTTACCTCTTGACGCTTACGACAAATTGAAGACACGTCTGCACTTTGTGTTTTCTGATAAAATTGTACATAAAAAAAGTAAGCTTTAAAACTCCTGTTATATTCTATATTCTACTATTTCTATACCGGGGTTGAACTAAAGTTTTTGAAAAATTCACATCACTTTTAAAGTTACGATCGATTGAAATAATAACGGGTGCTTTTTGTTAAAATTTCTGTACTCTAGTATAATAAAATCTGAATGAATCCATTTCTAAATTATATATTTCAAAAATTGCTAATTTTTCCTTTTGCCAAAAAATGGTATTTAAATCATTTTTTCTTGTAATAATATTCTTAAAAAATTGTATATGCACATTCAGGGAAGTCTTAAAACTTTTTGAGGCCCTAGGCCCAGATACATCTTAAAATTTTTAAGGCCCTGGGCCCCTATGCGCGCACCCCCACACAAAAGTAGGCCTTCTTTAAAAGTGGACAATATATAGCATGTATTGTCAAATACTCGTACATTTGAAATAGATAAATGTGAACGACTGACAATCTCATAAACCTAGTAACGAACTGATTCGACCGCTGGCCGCATTTCGACTAATTGAGTTGAATGATTGTTTATGGTATTAGGCCTAGGCCTAGACATGGACGACGATCATCATATAATAATACAGTCTTACAACTTTTCTCAGTTGACACATAGTTTGAAATTCTCTGTTTTTCGGAGAATATGCATGGGAATAGTATTTGACTATTAAAATTATCCGGATAATAATCTGATTAATACAGAGTCGAGAAAGAAACGAGGATAACGCCCTGGAACGGGGCCCAGTTGATGAATATGCCTTAAGACGTTCTTGTGCATATTCTGATTCAACTCGTAACTGGCTCTATCCGCGTTTTTCACTAATCCTCTGAGCAAAAATATGTTTATAAAATCACTCTTCTCGCAGAAGAACCGTGGTTAAATTCTAGCAAAGTGAGGGAGGGTGTCAATGGTCGTTAGTCCTACGCAGTGGCGCACACAGGAATTTTTCAAGAGGGTCGAAAGTTCACCATTCTTGTACCATGCTCCGTTTGATTTTGTCGATTTTCGGGAACAAAACACAGTAAAAAACTAGTTTTTGAATAAATAATTAGCATTAATTAATAAAATTAATCATTAATAGCAAGTAATTAGTTAAATTTTACGTACTATATACTTAGAATTATAATCAATCGGAAAAAAATCAAGGGCTTTGGGGGGGTCCGGACCCCAGGACCCCCTTGTGTGCGCCACTGGTCCTACGTAATTTAGAATATTTGAGGCCGCAGAGTTTCAGAAAGAGGATTCCTATGCCTTGCGGAACAAGTTAACTCGTCAAGCCAGGATGAGTACCCTTATGCCGGATCTTAGCGAAAGATAAGTGATCCAGTTATTTGCCATAGATGTTTTGATTAGTAAAAATATCGCCCTGATAGTAAATTGAAAGTGAAATAAAAATGTTAATTTTATTATAATTTCTGTTTATTTGGTGACTCCAACTTCGCGGGGGTGCGACCAGGAACGCCTTAAGGCATGGGCCAACTGGGCACAGGGCCTCGACCACAATGGAGGGGGGCTCATCTCGTTTTCGACTAGGCCTTAATAAGATCATGATTTGAATAATTTCTACGGTCAAAGGTTTTTTCCCCGGTTGTATTCTCCGAAAAACTGGGAATTTCGAACAATATGTCAACTGACAACATGTGATGACCATCGTCCATGTATAGGCCTAACACCATACACCATCACTACTCCTTCAGTCAAAAGGCGGCAGTCAGTCGAGCCTGTTTGTGCAATTGTGAGTCATGTACATTTATTTGTTTCGAGTTATTTTTTGTACGAATATTTGACAAAGTATGTTATGTTCCGTCTACTTTTAAGGGTCATAGGTGGAGTCTACATTTGTTATGGGCCTAATTTTACGTAGGGGCCCAGGGGCTCAAGAATTCTTAAGACATGCGACAAACTGACACTAAATATCAAAAAATTATTCATTTATATTCTTTGTTCAAAACCACGGTTTCGTACGTAGTCTATCACCTTAAACATGTATAAAGTATTATTATTATCCATTGCAAGAAAAAAATGATAATGCGAAAAACACAAAATTTCTACATGCCAAAATGTTTTTTTGTAAGTATAATGAAAGATACACACCTACCCCTTTACCACATTGAAATATGCATGCGTTAAAATGGGGGTTGTTACGATCTCTTTTTTTTTCTTTTCAGTATCATTAATCCCTACCATAAATTGCGGATGTTCTAAGACTCAAGAAACATAACTGTCTTTTAGAAGCCCTTAGAATCTCCAAGACATAAATCCTCCCTTTCGAAAAACAAATATGAGGCCTTCCATCTAAAAATTTGTCACCCGTAATGCAATACCTATCTACCCGCCCCCCTATTTCTAATCACTAAATTACCATCTCTTTTCGAAATGGAACGAGCGGCACAATTTTCACGCATCGGAAAATTTTCCCTTCTGGAACAACTACCCTTATTTGAATAACAGGCCCTGCCACCTATTACGTGAGGGATTTAGCATACTTATTGAATTTCCTTTCTTCCCTCGTGTGCTACCAGGGCCAGGGAAGCAGGTGCTAAAAAAAGTCGAGCCGAGATTTCACCGGAATGTTCATTAATATTTATGAGTTCCACCATTTCTGGCACAAAATGGAGATGGAAGTATAGCCCCGATGGGACTTAAACGCGCATAGATCGCTCGCTTATGAAAGTTACCATACTGGCATGGCATGTCTAAGAGGGTGTACAGCACCATCCTTTATGGAAGAATATTCGGGAGCAGCTTTTAAAGTGTTCTTCAGCGGTCTCGCCGAAATGCGGCTTCTTTCATCAACAGAGTATTTCTTGAGCAAAATGAAGATGATTGAAATGTGTCAAGTTTTCAATGTCTTCTGGTTTGCATGAGAGTGTTTGTATAGAGAAGATGGATGAGGGTTTTCCTTGGCTTAGCGGACACCATCAGGGGGAGCAGTATGGTATCAAATATTCATTTGTGGATACATCTTTGCAGAATGTTTCTAAAATGAATATTAGAATTTAAAGTAGAGATGTGGAGTTAAGAGGTAGCTAAATGTAATGAAAAAGGGGATGTGAACTTTTTTCGTTATTTAGGAATTATTTTTTAAATTTTGATTTCATTAAAAATTAAAAGGGGTTATTTCCCGTAACTTGGACATTTTCTTCTTGTAATATTCAATACATATATAACGTACAATTATACATAATCATATCGGAGAATTCATTTATATTATAAACAAGTGATATAAAAAAAATTTGTAAGTCAATTCTTACTTAGGTCAACAAAGAAACATTTTATTTTAGTTCCTTTTTATTAAATAGTTACAATTTATATAAATTGTTACAATATATATATATATATATGACAGAATAGATAGCGATTCTCCTCGCAATTTTCCATTTTCCTTTCTATATAGGGTGCTGAACTATTTTTTGTTTGTTTGTTACTATTTATTCATTGATTAATTTTAATTATTCTAATGAAATAGTACAGTAAAATACAAACCACATTCTCAGAAATTAGGCCATATCACGGGAAATTCGAACCCATGACCTTTGGATTAGAAGTCCAACGCGCTATCCATTGCGCTGCAGGTACATAAGAAGCAATTCTCCATTTTATATATGGTGTTGGACTATTATTTTTGTTCGTTACTATTTATTCATTGTTTAATTTAATTAATGAATTAATATTTGAAAAAACTGTATTCACATCAAGTGTTATCCGCTACAGGTTTAAAAAAGTGAACTTGAATGAATGAATAGACAGTATTTTATTAAGGATTAAAAATTGGAACAAGATATATATATATGTATAATATATGTAACGTCGCGTGGCCGGTCTTGTTCTATTTGTTTGTTTGCCATGGGTTTCACAAAAAACATCTTCGGAATTAAATTTCATCTTGTTTATTCACACACACATAACGTAGGGGGACAATTCACAGTTGTATTTCACAGATATTTGATCAGAACATGAAAGCAAACACAAAATAACAAAAGCGACAAGCAGCAGCGACATTCTACATGATAAAACACAAAAACAAAGAAAGCGATCGCTAGTCGCTGGTCGTCACTGGGAAATGGAACGCGAAGCATTCCTCCATCCCATATCGAGATAGTTAGGTGTGGCCTGATGTGGTTGGACCTTGATGGATAAGAGTCCCCTGATTGGTTCAGAGGATGTGGCAAGGAGGCGTGGTTACAGGAGCGGTTTCGGCGGTTCTCGAAGTTGGAGAAAATTTCACTTTGATTGTTCGAGTGAAATGAACGCCATTGGCTGATAGGTCTCTCTCTTGGAGAGTAGGCACTTTATTGGTTACACTGAAACATTGGAACTTGGCAGTGGGGAGAGTCTAGAAAGCTAACCTGTGTGGAAATTAGGAACTTTAAGGAATGATTAAAAAATGAATAGAGAAATTTAGAACTTACCATGGTCACTCGCCACACAGAGAGTGACTAAATTAAATGTTAGAGAGGGGGGTGTATAAGAATCTAGGAGAATTCTCCTAGGTGTTTTAGAAAGCGATCACACAAGATTCTCGCTTTACATACCGGCATTGACAATCGCGTGACTATTATGTAATAGTAGCTCTGATTGGTTAAAATAGGCGGGACAAGAATTTCGGATACCAGTTGATTACGATTAAGATTAAAGCGTCAGTTTTGAACCAAAGAATTAAAGCTTGTTTAAATATTATTAAAAAAGAGTTAATTAAAAGGATGCTAGAGAGAATTATCTCACACACACACACACACACACACACACATTTATATATAGGGAGAGTGTGAAGTAATAGTAGGAACTGAAAAAAACATTGACAGTCTTTTCTTTCTAAATATAATATCGTTTATAATTGAGGGCGTAATTAATAAGAATAATATAAAAGAGAGGAACATCAATAACAGAAAAATAATTTTTCAATATGTGAGAATGCTACCAGACGAGTATTTGTTATTCCTCCTCCCTCCTACTTTTTGAATTCTATGCATTCTGTCGTGTTTCTTGAGAATGCCTTACGCAAACCTTAGTAACCGAATGGTCATAGTCACGGGTTCATGGCTAGAGTTATCGAGTCGAAGGTTCGAAACCTAGTGCCACTACAGATGCGCCGGAGCTCTTAAATCTGTTGAGTCTCAAAGTTCTCCCGCTTTTGTGGTTTGGAAGTTTAGAGAGGGGATGTCAGGGTCACTTGATCGCGATTTATTTAAACCCTCGTGTAACTTCCCAGTGTGATGTAAATTGAAATCACAAATTCGCAAGTTTTACATTTTCATCTCAGCCAGTATGAAAGTTTTCTATTTTTTAACCTTTTGTCCCAAGTAAGTGTTTATTAATGTCGCACTCTAAGGCAACACGAAGGCTTTTGGCGACGGACCTCGTCGTTTTGAACCTGGGTCAAGTGACGAGGACCTGAGCTGACACCTCCTTCTTTAAGTTTCCACCCCACAAACGGGCTTTTTGTTCCAAAGCAATATTTGAAAGTGTTTGTAATTATTTCGACCGGGAGCACGTGCGTGTTGGAAAGTAAACAGAACTATTGATTTCCTGACACCAACACAGCTAAAAAGTTTATCCTTATGCAGTCTTTTTTTTATATTTTGACGAATTAGCACCATTTTTTTTTATTCTGATAGTCCCTTTAGGAGAATGTCAGAAATGCATTCGAAAAAAATTATTTCATATTTTTCATAAATACATTCAAGTTTCATATTAAGACATCTAAGTTTTCTAGATTGATTAACAACAGACTAGCGGTTGTTGGTGTTTGGGGGTTCGAGCAAAGATCAGTCATTGCAAGTTTTAAGTTCAAATTTATTTATCCCTTTTACTTAATCAACACAACTAAAGGTAGAAAATGCATTTAGTAAATAATTAGAAGAGCAATCGCACGGCTCTTAAGGCCACTTAGGATATAAGTATAATTTACTCCACTTACTTTTGGAGCTCTCTAGACTTTTACGCTAGAATTCACCGGGAATATTTTACTTAATTGTACGACCTCCGGTCGTAAATCTGTAGCACAATTTTGTCAATTTTATTTTCCAATTATCAATAATCAACCATCCAGCGACTAACATCGCGTACTTGAATATCTACGTTTAAATAGAAAAACTCATTTGAATAAATAAAGTCTTCTTCTTCGAGAGAAAGTTTTCAATTGTACATATAGTTAAAAAGAATAATTTTACCCCAAGAGGATTTGATGAAGGTTCGCGAATAGACCCGTTACAATTGTAAAAATGAAATCTGGAGAAAAGGCAAGATTTTTTTATTTTTTTAATTTATTAAAATCTTTATAACGTTCAATCATAATATTATATGTTATATCGGAGAACTAATAATTGTGATTATGAATCAAAATTGTGTGAGTCATCATAGTACTATGTCGTAATATTTATTTGTACTCAAATGTGATACAACTCTTCAATTTTCGGGGATTTCGGGACTAAAATTCTTTGGAAAGGTTAAAGATCGATGTTAAAACACCATTGTAAACCTTACTTTAAGTATACAAAAACAATAACAATAACAAATAAAAAATTCCTCTCTAAATATTTTTAATGACCTTTTTTCAGATTGTATCATTTATAAATAATTCATTACACGCCTCGTATTTCTTATTATTAAAACCACTTACGGCTTTAAATAGCTCTCGGAAGCATTCTTGAATCTCAGTAATCTGAAATATCAATATTAACATTTTGAAATGTTTTGCCTATGGGAGGAACATTTTAGAAGAAAGCAAATTACGTGGCCCACATAAATATTTCGAAGTTAAAAATGATTTACAGCAGGTCAAAAACATTCATCAAGGGGGTCTTTCCTGCAAAACAAAACTGCTATGAAAAGAATTCGACTTCACCATCGGAGATAATTATTTGAATGTTCCTGCATGTAGAGGCATGCACAAAAGTCCTATTGACCCACACAGAGAGTAGGAGCACGTACATTGAATCACATCTCAGTCATTCACCATAAGGGAAGAGCAAACCTTAACGAGAGGAGATGATGATAATGATGAAGAAGAAAAACGACAATAAAAACAATGTAACGGAAGAAGAAGAAGAAAAAAAGAAAACTGCAAGCCGCACGTGCTGCGACAATGCCTTCCCCCCAACGTTGGAATCAAAATGAAGCCAGACATCTATAAATAACTCAATTTCGGCTTCTCGAAGACAACGCTCGCCTGTGCACTAACTAGGGGATAGGGTACGCCCTCTAGGGCAACTTAATGGAAACATTTTGTTTCTTCACTTCACTTAAAATTTATTTTTTTCCCATCTTTTTTTATTTCGAACAATTTTTTTCTTTTAACATTTAGAATAATTTTTTTGTATATGTGTAATTTTTTGTCGTATTCCTTTAATTTTTTTTCCCCTTCCAAGTGTGTGTCACATCTTTCATTGGCGCACTTTCAAAAAAAGAATATCCGTACAAAAAGAAAAAAAAAGACCTTTTGCCGTTTGGCAGAGGCCAATTCAAGGGTCGATTTTGACTTTTTTTCAGCTGCTGTCACATCCGAATTTTCTTTGTTTTTCTTTCGCTTGCTCGTGTTCTTTTCGATGTCATGGCCGCGGGTAGATAAATATAAGTTTTGATGTTACAATTCTTTCTGGAATTTTTTCTCCTTTTTTTTTCCCCTCGATACGTTGCAAGCGACCCCACGCGCCTTTTCCTGTAAACAGGCAATGCCTGTCCTGCCAAGAAATTAGGCAGCGTTTTCTGCTGATTCACTGCTCAGGCTGGCGTGGAATGATATATATCTAGTCGAGTTCAGCGCACTTAGCGAACGAGATGGTTTTGTTGGTTGGTTTTTGTTTTACTTGTGTGCGCTCGCTTCACTTTCCTCTCTTGGAATCGTTCCATAAGAACTAGAAGTAAACAAATATAGTCACTTCACGTTTTTCGTTGCCAGAGTGCAATGAAATTATTTAAACGTTGTATAAAACAAGATCATTTTAAAGATAATTCGAAACTGGGCCTATTCAAGATGATGATTTGATAACAAGATACAAATAATAATAATAATAAATTAATATAAAAGAGTTATTAAAGTTGACGAGAATCCAAATTTCTCATCACATAGGAATTTATTTAAATTTTGGAAAAGAAAGTTAAAGGATTATTACATGAAAAAACACAGAGAATTTCTTTAAATTAGGGTTCCTCTCCCAGGAATTTACGATGAAATAATCATTGCTTGAAAGAATTTTAGAGATAAAATCAACAATATTAAAAGCATTAATTGAAATTAAGGAACAAATCGTGGCGAATGAAGAATTAGAAAATTGGACTACAATTATAGCAGACTGGAAGCCAGAAAAATTGACTTGGAAAACCAACTGCCGAAGGAGTATTTATTTTTCTTTATAGAGAATTTAACGGATAAAATACTCAGGATTTGCTAAGAATATAAAATGCTCTCTAATTCAAAAAATTTGCAAGAGACGCAATGTTAGGTTAGTTCAATTATTACAATATCTAAATTTTGGGAGAAAGTTCGAGAGAGAGAGAGAGAAGTTACTGTAGTTACATTGTTGATATTTTACGTTTATCAAATAAAAACAATAATGGCAAGGCCTTTTTGA